CTTAAAGATACATTATGTAAGATTTAGATAAAAAGCTAGCCATTCTTGCTATAATAGTTCGAAAATAGATAATGTAAAATGAATAATTTGGTGCTAATCTTTTTTTGGGCCATGCCTCAAACGTTTTGCAGAAAAGCCATCAAGTTCTAAGAAAGTACAGTGTATTTTTTATTTATTTATATAAAGGAAACTACCACTAGTGTGTCAATGAGTTTATTGTTTCTGTACATATATATATAGGTTAAAGACTAGAGGCAAATCTCAACCAAGTTAACATTTGACATACGAAACGTGACACATCAATTGAAAATAATATATCTAGGATACTGGAAGGGTTACTTCCCGATTAAAGACAATTTTTACATATTATGGTCAGATCGTCAAAATGTAAACAAAACATACATGTACGAATATTACAAGATAAGCAATGAGCTGTGAAAATCCAGATCATTTTGACGACGTGATAGGGAAATCCAGAGAGCATTTCGACCACAGCCCTTTATAAAACTTTTGTTGTTTCAATCTATGAAATACATCAATAAGAAACTATGTGCAAAGTTTTGTGTTTCTGGATTAAAGATATTTCTCACAAACAGTGATTGAAAGTGGAGTAATTTTTAACTTCAATCTGAGAATGCTTTGTGAACTCGGGGCATGTGTGGTATAACCGACACAACTCCCCGGTACATGGGACCATTATTCACAAAGAATGCCAGACTTCTGGGTTTAGATGGAAAGAGGTCTTTATAAGAACCCACTTCCAATCCCCCACGCTTACGACTGGAGGAAGACGAAGGTGTATGTTTTATTTTAAAACCACAAAAATGAGAAAACCTTTGATGATAACAGTGTCAAAAGTACTATACACCTTGGACTATAGATCTTGAGACCCTATAGATTTCAGCCTGCCAAGCCTATAGCCAACACTGTTCATAAACCCACGGGGATCACTTTCCCGAAATAACTCTTATTATAATATCGCTATAGATATAGCAGATCTTACGATTTCCGAGAAATAGAATATTTCCGGAGATGTGATAAAATATCCCCAATCTGATTAACATACAGATCTATATTTCGTTTCGTATTTTTATACTTTCAATGGCCTACACTACATGAAGATCTGACACGTTTTAGTGGGAGTTCTCGTCGGGGTTCAAACAAGCGGCGTTTGACCTATGACGTCAGACATTGATTAATCAATCAGTGTTGACGTTTCTAGTGGTTTACCCACAGTTCCGTACATTAAAAGGCCAAGAACTCGCCGTAACAGACCGTTTCATTGGCTAATCCCTCACATCATTCAGGACACGTCAATGATAACAACACTTCCAGATCCTAGTGTAGTAAAGACAAGTAACACGAAATTTTGAACCATAAAAAACGAAACGAAATAGGACCCTGCGTTTTAATCAGATTGAAAATATCCCCCAAATATAAAGCTGTATAGGAGTATCGAGAAATCAACAGGTTCGTAAAAAACCCACGGGAATCCAAATCCCGGTTAAACTTTGTATATTTAATACACTTTTAACAATAAACATATCGTCTTATCTTTTATCACTGTAGGCTTATATAGAAGTCGAACAACCCTTCCAGCAAACTTCCAGCTGGTTACATTTATTTAACTTGTAAACATTAAATTGGGTGCCTTGTGACAGTTGATACCACTCAGATCGGGTACCTGTTCTCATGGTAACTGATAAGTTGGTAAATAATGATATTAATTCAGTGTCAGTCGTCAGCCATTTTGTTTTATAATGCACATGGCGTTGTCCGGTGTGTCATTTAATGAAGGCGTCGGAAGACCATCAGAAGAAGTAAGACGTTCAGACCTTTTTTGTTTCGATAGACCAAGTATAATCAACAGTTGACGACTAAGGATACTCATCCACTATGTCAATTAAAACCAGCAATTCCCTCCCCCATTGAAATGTGAATAAACATCTTCATTTTCTGCATCAACCGGGCTATGAATACAGGCTCTACCCATTAACCCTTTCATTGCGTGTACCCGGTAGTACCGGGTATTATAAAATGTCGTTAAAATGCGCGTACCCGGTATTACCGGGTACTCAGTATGGCCCTCGCTAAAATTAGCACCGTAGTTGCAAGTGCCATCTTTGTATTTTCTATACACTAGAACATATTTCCACGTGTTTCAAAGCGGCAAACCGTAAAATGGCAGAGTGCATAGTGACAACGTAGACGATGCAATCTTGGCGAACTCGTAATGGCATCTTCGCTGACCAAGGTGGAAATTTCGAGGCGGGTACTGATGCACATAATTCGTTTCCAGTTAGTTGATAATAATAGTAGTCAGGACAGTGATTGGTAGTATGAAGTGCGTGATTTGTTGCGCGATCTTCCGCCTATGGCTATGTCTCACGTGCATGACGAACATAATAGCCCTACATGTATGTAGTATGTCTTTAGTAGATTCTGACGATAATTCTGATGTTGATAATAATGCTGGCCTTGCTGGATCGTAAAATACGTAGGCAATTCCTGAGTCCCGAACGTGTAGATCTATTGACTGACTATAGTGATAATGATATGGGACTTGAGGATGAAAGTGAAAGTAAAAACAAGGTATTGCAATCCGCACGTGGTCATGGCAGCCGGAGACATGGTGTGCGTGTTCGTGGTGGCATTGCTCATGGCTGCTATTGATATTTTTGTTCATTTTATATATCTTTATCAAAATCCAGTGAAAAAAACAATATCCCATAAGTATTTCATGAAAAAAAATTCGTTTTCATGTTAGTTTTAGTGAGAAATGAAAAATCCAAAATGGCCGCCATGACGTCACGTGACTACATGATTATGCGAATTTCCAAAATTCTATTTTTTTCTCTTAGCCCAACATCATGCCCATCCAAACACACAAAAAGAATTTTCATAAAAGCTTCCATAAGTACTGTTTGGCATTTAGTTCCAAACACACTTTTTTCCTCAAAAAAGGATCTAGCACAGGCAGTGGATTTACGTCTAGCATTGAAAGGGTTAACATTAATTTTAAATCCATGCCATTGCTTTGTAATATATCTTCTATCTATCTATATATATATTTGTGACTGTCGTTTGTCTGTCTGTCTGTCTGTCTGTCTGTTCGGGGTTGGCGGCTACACTAGGTCTGCCCCGATTCTGAAATTTGGGGTATAGGGGTAGCTCGAACCGGGGAGTAACATAGGCCAGGTGGCGTTAGTCTACCACTTCCGGTTTCGGAGTTATGACCCCCGAGCGAAGCCGGTCTGTTCGGGGTTGACGGCTACACTAGGTCTGCCCCGAGTCTGAAATTTGGGGTATAGGGGTAACTCGGATCGGGGAGTAACATAGGCCAGGTGACGTTAGTCTACCACTTCCGGTTTCAGAGTTATGACCCCCGAGCGAAGCCGGTCTGTTCGGGGTTGGCGGCTACAACTGCCCCGAGTCTGAAATTTGGGGTATAGGTGTACCTCGGACCGGGGAGTAACATAGGCCAGGTGGCGTTAGTCTACCACTTCCGGTTTCGGAGTTATGACCCCTGGGCGAAGTCTGTCTGTTCGGGGTTGTCGGCTACACTAGGTCTGCCCCGAGTCTGAAATTTGGGGTATAGGGGTAGCTCGGACCGGGGAGTAACATAGGCCAGGTGGTGTTAGTCTACCACTTCCGGTTTCGAGGTTATGACCCTCGAGCGAAGCCGGGCATTCTTCTAGTATCATATATTTTTAACATTCTGTGAACTAAATCTTTATACCTACAAACGGTGTAATAAGTCGCAATCATGGGATAAAAATACTCAAGGGGAATAACCATCTCTATTTAGGGAACGCCCCCCCCCCCCCCCAACACACACGCACCAAAGAAACTGAGAGTCGGATTTATGCATGCACACACTGCAAGGGCCACATGATAAAGAATGGAAATCTAAACGGTCCTGCCACAACGGTTCTGCGTGCCCACACTGCAAGCACCACATGATAAAGATTGGAAATCTAAAGCCCGGCCCATACCGCCACGACTTGCCGAGACTCTATCCAACGCAACGTCTTGTCTCAGATAATCAGTGCAGTTTGGACAGTCCTACTACCACGATTCAATCGATTTTCGTCGCGTCGTGGCCCGTAGGCCCGATTGAACATGTTCAATCGTAGTCGGATGCAGTTGGTTGCAGTCGTAACTTATCGTGTTTGTGTGGACACTCACACGACGCAATCAATTGTCTTACTGGTGTTTAGCCAATCCGAGAGTAGCATTTAGTCATGTGACTGTGCAGCAAAACCACTGATACTGCAGCATATTTCTTTTTACGAGCAGTCAACTTCAACGGCATCTTGGCAAAATATAATGTCACGTTTATGCTTCCGGTTTACTTTTGGAATCACTCGATAGAGGGAAGTGGCGTAACTCACGACGCATAATCTGTGAGAGTCGGGCCTGTGTCGACTGGTACCGTCGTAGGCAAGTGAAATAAAGGAGCGACCCGTTTTCTTTTTTACACCTACCCAAGACGCTGAGTCCTGTCGGCCTGTGTGTAGTTGTAGCGGTATGGGCCGGGCTTAATGGGTAATGTTACAACTTTTCCGAGAGCTCCCTGTGTTCAGGTGGACTATAGCATATCACTCAGCTATGTGCTATAATGTATTCATAATGCCATGTTTCCACTGTGATGTCGCGCGTTACCATACGATTGTTCCTATCTTGCGGATACGTTCTGATACGTTTTGATACGATCAACAGATCGCTAGGACTGGCATCAATATAGGATAAGACCTGATAGGATCACCACGATTACTCCAGGATCAAAACCACGATTTAAATCGTAGCGAGAATCGTGACAGTGGGAACCTAGCTTTAGATAAGTTTTTTTAAGGGATTAGCGAGAATCGTGATAATGTTAACCTAGGCTTAGATAGGTTTATTTTAAGGGATTCGTGATAACACAATTTGATTTGTAGTATAGAGTCAACATGGTGTATATTTTGGAATCTGTCAAAGTTACATAAATTTGAGCGTACCTCGATTTCTGTTGGCATCACAAAGATGAAGATAAAAACACAATAACAATACTCCAATACCTGTAAATAAAAACAATAGCAATTAAGTTTTTTGAATTTTATGCACGTGTATCCGGTTTCACAAAGCATTAAGTTAAGCATTTACTCAACTTTCAATCACTATTTATTAGAAATATGTTTGATCCAGAAACACAAAACTTTGCACATAGTTTCCTATGGATGTATTTGATACATTAAAACAACAAAAGTTTTATAAAGGGCTATATTTTAGTTAAAGATACATTATGGGAGATAAGATAAAGAGATGGCAGTTCTCGCTATAATAGTTAACAACTAGATAGTGTAAAGGTAATTTGCTGAAAATTTCAGTCAAATTAATCCACTATGAGCCGCGAAAGAAGTAGGTGAAATTTTTGCATAGTCTCGGTCATCATTACTAAAATCATTAATATAAACAGCATGGTCTCGATTATCCACTTTTTTTGATTTAATTACCAATGGCCGTTAGCGGCATATAGGAATCTAATCCAGCCAACATCAAAGGCTAGCCTTGACATCGAGAGTTTATTATGGTCTGGATAAGTTAATTAATGTCTAATTGATAATTTAGATAACATTTCAGGCCTAAAGAAAGACTTGTAATAAGCAGATTTTGCTCTTACATCATGCATGTTTAATATAAGGCGAATAATTTTGAGTAAATTCTTAACTTTGTTTTGTGAAACTAGGGTCTGATCTGACTACAGAGTGGTACGTTCTTTTGTTCTGTTTGGAAACCTGATCGTAATTGATATTGATTTAAGTGTAATGTAGTTTAACGCCCAACTGGGAAATCCCGGGGAATTTTCTCGGCCAACACCGGGATCGATGTCTGCAGCATTCTATGAACACACTTTTGTCGGGACAGAGGCGTTACAGGATCGAACCCCGAATTTTCTTAGTGAGCCAGCGCATTAAATAAATTGGACAAACATCTGCCAAACAACAACATCCTCGATTATAGCCTCAAGATTTAAATCTGTAGGGAAAAAGATATGCACATTAGCCATTTTCTTCAAAGTAGTATACAACAATAGAATGTAATATTTTTGCTTTGAACGTCCTTTGAGGGCAACATATGATATAGAAAAGTATAAAATCAAAGTGCAAACATTATGCACATACATGTACACTAACGAGACTTCATAGACGCCATGCACATATTATAGTCTTTAAACAATGTCTCTGAACGTCACGGGCACCTGGCAAAGGACAATGTATAGTCGTTCGGATGGGTTGAAAAACCAGTTACCATGTACACTTCGGCGTGCACATAAATGAAACTTGAACAGTTGGAATTCGATATAAGAGTAGGCCGTAGCGTCGCTATCTAGACAAAATTTCCCTCATAGCCCATCGTCATTAGCCACATGTGGTGCAGAACAGTAGGACGTTAAACCCCATTTTCGACCTTAATTAAACAGGCTACATCTGTTTAAAACCGTATGGCATTGATATAAGATAACCCTGGTGACCTTGGTAGGCTGGGTTCAAGTAAGGTATCATCCCTCCCTAATATCGGATCCCCTAGGGGAGCTTAAACATGACAGTACTTCGACCCCCACGAATGTTTAATCTGTACGTATACCCCTCTCTCTGGGGATCTGACCTTTTTATTCTAATTGAACCACTTATCAACGACAATAATATGATATAAAATTTGATCACGTGGGCGGATCCATTTAGGAGATTAAAAGGAATCAATATTGGTGTTGACTTTATGAAGCTATTTGAATTGTTTGACCTGTGTTGTTATCAAACAGCATTTGGCCGACTGACAGATTTATTGACGCAATCATTTAGCTAATGGTGAATTGATATCATTCAGATAAAAAGAAATGGCTCATTGTTTGATATACTTCGGTCCATATAACAAATACACTCTAATAGATCTCGACTCTATGAAATGAACATGATGGTCTATTATATCTAGATTTCAACTCTGTGAAATTAACTCGCGGCTCTATAATATTATAATGAAATTAACACGATGGTCTATTACATTGACATCTATTTCACAAAATACAACACTTGACTAATATGAAATGAAATGGGATTGTTTGACCTACTTTTTCCGCACCAAATAGACCACAGAGAGAGAGGGGGGGGGGGGTATCCACTCGACACAACTAGGTTGGAAAATCCCACAAAAACCTTCTCGGCAAACAGTGGGTTCGAATCCGAAACCTCCTGGATAGTGATTCAGTGTCATACTCAATTAGCCACTGTGGCCCCACATATCTAATGCATGCAGAAGATTAAAGGTCATCAGGTCATCTTGACAGCTTGATCCACAATGGTATTTTGGAGTTTGGTTTTAGTGTTGCCACATAAATTATTATTAATATTAAATATTTTCATTGTCGTTAATTAAGTGTCCACGTGGGGGTTGGATGATCGAATGGTTAACACGTGCGCGTTGTATGATAAGGTTTGTAATTGAGTCAACTGGCGTGGTTTCCATTCACCGGTTGTACGTGACATTGGAGTAGGGTCGCCTGTCCAATCTTTTTTTCAGGGTCCTCCTGTTTCCCCCCACTGGTAAAGAAACCTACGGGCAGGCGAATTATTGAAATAAAATTGAATCATATGTTAGTTCCGAACTCTCTCTCTCTCTCTCTCTCTCTCTCTCATTTATTGAATTAAGCTTTTTATTGATCCACGATTCTCTACCCCCCACCCCGCACTCCTTATGCCTCACCAAAGATCACCCGAAATGACCTAGTTTGTGTGTAGTGTATGATAAACCCATCTCTCTCTCTCTCTCTCTCTCTCTCTCTCTCTCTCTCTCTCTCTCTCTCTTTCTCTCTTGGCATAAATCTTAATAATATCTGGCAATTTATAAATAACATACAACACTAGAATAACTGTATAAATGTTACATCTCGAAACATATAAAAATCCTTCGAAAAAACATACCAGCACAAAAGGGCAAATATTTCTTACCGATCTATTTCAAGAGATGTACAACAAAACGAAAAGGGTATGATGCCCCCTACCGTGTAGTTATCAAGGTAACAATAGATTCTATTACTTATGTATTAGACATTAAAGTAGTTCTACTCCATGACTCGCTCGGTATCTCGATAGATGAGAGCATACCACATCGTTTGTCTTTCACTATCCCCTTTTTGAACACAATACAAGTAACGTTATATGATTTCCCGTGCATGTTGACTTTAAGAAAAAAAAAGGTACAAAGTATTATTATTATTACTTTGGAGTCGAAATTCCATTGTTGTAAATATATTATATACAAAGGAAGGTCAAAAATAGATTTACATTTGTGTAGCTTTTAGTAGATCAACAAAACATCGTTGAAAATATCAAAATATGTAAAAGAGAAAATTGTCCATAATAAAAACATATGTCTTGCTAGTTTTACCGATTCTGTTACATTCTAGGATATGAGGTTGGACGCCCAGCTAATGGCGTCTGAACTTCAAAGAATCCATTTCTTTCCGGTCACCATGCCGCTGTTTATTGAAAACGAGAAGAATGGTAGAAAAATGGGAAACTTTTAATTAAGAACAGATTTCGTTCTGTCTCTAGTATAGTAATATATAAGCAACAAGACGTACTTCTTGCCAAATGTTCCATTCTCTCTCTCTCTCCGGTATTTTATATTGTAATGGTTATATTGACTCTAAAGTATATAATATTGTCCTGGTTATATTGACTCTAAAGTATATAATATTGTCCTGGTTATATTGACTCTAAAGTATATAATATTGTAATGGTTATATTGACTCTAAAGTATATAATATTGCCATGTTATGATGTTCCATTCTCCCTCTACAGTATAAAATATTATATTGTCATGGTTATTATATTCTTTTCTCTTTACGGTATTTGCCATGTTATATTCACTCTATAGTAGATAATATTGCCATGTTATAATGTTCTGTTCTCTCTACAGTATATAATATATACATGCATAGTATATTGCCATGTTATAATATAATATTCTCAGTACAGTATGTAATATGTGTTATATTATAATGTTCTGTTCCCTCTATAGTATGTAATATATTAGCCATGTTATAATGTAATATTCGTTCTACAGAATATAATATATATAACATTACCATGTTATATTTTGCTATTATCTGTACAGTATATAATATGTATAATATTGTCATAGTTACACTGTTCTATTCTCTCTACAGTTTATAATATAGCCATGTTATAATGTAAGATTCACTCTACGGTATATAATATTGCCATGTTATAATTTTCTATTCTCTGTACAGTATATAATATGTATTATATTGTCATGTTCTACAGTATATAATATATATTACATAGTCATAGTTATAGCGTATTAAATAAAAACATTTTGCATATTTACGTTGTTAAGTCTTGTCTATTTGTATGTTATAAAAGTTTATATTTGTTGGCATGAATCAGGTAGAATCGATATCAGTAACTTTACATTTTAAAAACAAATGTTGGCCTTTTATTCAGATATAAAGACGCGTGGAGTATTTCTAGTCCATTAAATGGCAAGAGAGAGAGAGAGGGAGAGAGAGAGAGGGTTTAATGTCCACTCGACACACATGGTTCAATTTTATTTCAATAATTCGCTTGCGCGTAGGGGTCTTTAATTAGCAGGGGGGGGGGGCACGGAGGACCCGGAGAAAGCCCACGAGGTTGGACAGGGGATCCTACTCCTTGCCACGTAGTAACCGGGGAATCGAAACCCCAAAATGGCAACAAGATTTCGTAAAATTAAATAAAATGGTGTTTAACGTCATGGTTATCAGATAGACAAGCCTTAATGATCTCACAAAAATACACGGTAAATATAAAAATATGTATGTATAACCCTGAATAAACTGATCAAATGAAAAGTGGTATGAGGTGTTCGAGACAGTTTAGCTATTTACAACCTAATTGCTCAACAATCTATAAATTGGATTCCAGAAACCGATGCTACCTGGTTTCCGAACGAGCCCTATTACTCGTACATAAATCGAGTGTTCGACACTATCACAATGCAAAGCAGTGGCACATGCGAA